TATTGGGAGCATAAGCTTTCGTGGGTAAGAACCTCACTTCTTCAGATGCATCTGAAGAAGTGAGGTTCTTACCCACGAAAGCTTATGCTCCCAATACTTCTGTTAGTCTCAAAGGTGCCACAGGACCCTCTGTTGCTTTTTACAGATTCAGACTAACACGGCTACCCCTCTGATACTTAAGCACATATTAGTTTGTCTCTGTATGCTTAAATGATTGGCAAGTGGTACAGGACTGACTGTATGGAGAGCAATCAGAAGCAGTGGTAGTTAGGTTGCTAATGAAATCATCTCTTTCTCTCCTCCTCTCCTCTATGCAGCCATACAGTGGAATGGATGGCATCTTCTTTTCCATTCTAGAAAGCAGGACATCTTGGTTAATGGCAGTCTTGTTCATAGTTTTTCTTTTCAGTTTCTTGTGACTGAAATTGTAGATATCAGAGTGTGCAGATCAGATTGATGATTGCTATAATTTACAACCACCATTGCTGATGGTACAGTAGGGTTTTAAGGCATCCATTTTATTTAGAGCACTAACATACCAGTCCTCAGGTAGAACCAGTCTCCAAGAAGTAAAATATGGGTTTTCGTGACTGTGCACAGTCACTATTCAGCTCTGTGCTTCACCACACCAAACACAAGGAAAAAATATGGAGGAATTCAGCTCAGTCCCAGCTGTTCCTGAGCAGCAAAGGAAATAAATGGAACAAGGACATTGCCTGACAGATGGAACAGAAAAAATGCAAGAGACAGTACTGCATCTATCATCAAGAAAACAGTGGCACATCAAATGCCTATATTTATGGCTGAATAGGATGTAACAAACACCCATAAGTCTTTCTACAGAAAGTAAAAACTTGTTCCACATTCACCAAGGCTCCAGTCCTGCAATTTTCTCCATGTGGGCAAACTCCTGTGCTTCTGCTTCCAGTGTAGCTCTGCATGGGCAGAGAGGATCCACCCATGCAGAAGAAGTTGCAGTTAAAAAGACAAAAGAACTGAGATATAAGTCATTTTGTATATGGTGCTTGTTCTAATGAAAAACTGACTTGTTCCAGTGGTCTAGAAACCATGCAACAAGGAAAGCTTGTGCTGTCCCCAAACGTATTAGCATATCGTCTTCTGACAAAGCAATTTGTATGAGCTAAATGTCATAGCACAAACAAAAAGAGTGGAAAATAGAAAATAAAGAAGAGGCACAAAGAATGGATGCCAAAAAAAAAAAAACCAATTACACTTTCCATGAAAAAATAAATGGAGAAAAATTAAAAAGGTACAACAGATCTTTTTACGTGCAATGCACATTCAATCCATGTATTGAAGTGGCTTGATAAGCAGGTTTTGAATATTAATACCCCAAGTCTGGAAACACTAGTTAACATATCGCTATCTAACTTAAGAAGAGCATGTTTGCCTTTAGGGATGATGGGTTGTACTGATGTTGCTATTCAGGACTAATTCTTCACTGCTGTCTCAGTACAAGCTCAATGTAGTTCCTGACAGATTTTCATTGTAGACTAGTTCCCATATTTATTCTGCATGTGTGTGGTACAGAAAAAGTCCATCATGCTGCCTTGTAAACAGATTTTTCTCTTTTATAGAGACCAACATTAGTAATTTACACGTATATATAAATGATCCCAAAGTGTTTTACAAACTATTTATCAGACTCACTTATTCCCCACTGAAAAGCAGCTACCTCTGGATAGAATATAGCATCTGTTGAAGAGCATGCAGCTATACTATGCAATTTTGGACAAGTGAAGAACACCATTTTCAGCTGAAACTGCTGGAAAAAGTGTGGCTTTAATTCATACATAGCACCAAACTTAATACTACTATTGCTATAAAATGTGTAATTGGTTATTTAATGACCAAAAGCTCTGTATCTTGATTTTATGTCTCAGCTGAAAGATGGCACCTTCAACAGCCAATGCCCCCAACAGCACTTTGGAGCACTGGATCAGTACTGACTGAAGAGAGTTACTGCCACATACTAAATCACCATATCCTACAGCACTTACTATTGGTGCTCTCTGGCAATCTTCTACTCAAGTATTGCCCCACATGTGCCCAAGGTATATCCTTCACTCTGCAGGTTATACAAACAGTACTCTGAACAATCTAGGAAAGAATCATGCAGTTCCTTCAGCAAAACTTCTCAATAACCTGAGCGCTGTTTAAGATAGTGAAACACATTCTGGCACCTCTTGTTGTTTCTTTTTCTTTTTTCTTTTCTTTTTTTTTTTTTTAAACCATTTTGTTTTAAAGGATAAAGTAGTACAGACACTCACAGAAATACTCTTGTAATTAACACTCGTGCTTTACCTAAATAGATCAATCCAAATCCTCCCTGGCCAATTATATTGCCCAACCTCCACTCCTTTCCTTCAGTGTCTTTCATTATCATTCCTTTGGGAAGGGGAACAGGGAGCTTGCTTTTTCCACGCCCTTTAGGTGGCATCACACCTTTGAAAGAAAAGAAAATGAAACCATTATGAAAGAAAATGAAACCTTCCAATTCCCTTGTTCCAAAACGAAAATCATAGTTAAGTCCTCCACAGCCTGGCACCTGGGTAATATCTTCCTCCTGTGCAAAGAGGGTTTAAAATGCTACCAAATGAGAATGGTAGTGTTTTATTCCAGTTCAAAATGAAAGCAAATGACTACATGGAGTCAAGGCCTAGACAATGAGGGGAATAGTCCCATTCAAACAACGACATTATTACTCGGTAAGTGGCTAAGACAGAGGGATGGAAGAAAAGTTGTACTGCAAGAATCTATAAACATGCAACCTGGCATGAGTCCACAGTACAACCTTTAAACAATGCATTGGTAGTTTAGGAATATGCACCATTATAAAAATAATCAACGGACGACAGAATAACCACCTGAGTCTGCACTCCATTCTTTATTAAGCTCAGTAAGTTGAGATGCATCAGCAGGGGTGGCTTTAGGGGTCTAAACATCTGGTTTCAAATACCAAGACCCCGCTCTGGAACCACGTGTTCAAAGGTTGGCAGGCCTGACTGAGTGGGAGCCCTTTATCCTTTTGAGCTAGATAAACTGGATTCGGTGCAATTTACAGCAAAGTGGACTTTCACACAAGCCCTGAGTGTTTACAGTACCTAGTTCTTGCTGTAAGTGGGATTTTTCAGACATCACTCTCAAAGCACTTTACACAGGTGGCTGGTGCTATCTGCACTGCACGGGTCTCTTGCAACTTTTTCCGGGGCTGACTTTGGCCTGAGTGGTTCTCTTAGGCCACCCCCACAGCTGCACGGGATGGCGAGCGCAGCCGGGGAGACTAACAGCTGCTGAGGCAGAACAGATCGGCTAAAGGAGATGGCAGCAATCTGGGGAAGGCTACCCAGGTGCTCCTACTCCCCGCTCTGCTCCAGGCGATTTCCCAACAACTCCCCCAGCTTCCCTCCCCCCTGCAGCCTTACTCAGGCCGCCCCAGGCTCCCTCCGACAACCTGCCCCCTCACCCCCGGCTCCCCCAACTCGTTTCGGAGGGTTGCACCTGCCCTCCGCCCCCCACACAATCACTGCACCTACTGGGGGAGCCCTCGCGGGCTCTCTTCTCCGGGGCGCCGCAGCAGCCACGGACTCTTCCCAGGCCGGGCCGATCAGCGCAGCTCCCCGAGACACTAACCGGCCTAGGCTCCCGCCCCGAGCCCGGCCCCTCCTCAGGCTGGCGGCGCGTCTCGCCGGCCGCGGAGCGAAGGAGCAGCGGCCGGAGGAGCCCAGGCAGTGGCGCGCGTGGGCAGCCCCGCGGCCCGGCAGTCACATGGGGGATGAATGACAGCAGGAGGAGGCGCGGGTGGGAAGAGCCGCCTGCCCGGGCCGAAGGGCTGTGCTGGGTGTGGCTCGGAGAGAGTGGGCACGGCTTCCTGTGGGAGAGCCCAGTGCCCGGCGATGGCAGGCAGGGTAAGTGCATGTAAAAGAGAAGCCGCGATTCAGCGGGAGAGACTTAGGCTCAGCTCCGCACAAGAGCCTGTCAGGTGCCCGCCCGCCCGAGAGGAGTTAAAGGGGCTTGATTGTCAAATAATGGGTGTCGTACCTCAGATTGAACATGCCCCGCTTCAGCATGAAGTAGTCTAAGTATTAAACCAACATTAAAGAATGAAATAAAGTGCCTGACTGTTTGGGCCACATGTTCCCTGCCCATGGAAACCCTGGGAGGATCCTTATAGAAACCAAAGAGTAACAGTGAAAATTAGCAGAAACTACATGAAAAAATCTTGTTAAATCTGAATACAGAGGAATGATATGTTTTCCCAAGAAACAAAACTTGTGGTTGTGTTGCTGATTTTTTCGTCTTATGAAAAAAATGAGAACTTGGGGTGGAAATAACAATTTTATGAGCGTCGTGAAATCAGTGAATTAGTGGAAAGTTGGGGTTTTATGTAAAACTCTGAACTCCAAAAATATCTGTAAACTGTTGAGCTTTTGACTCATGAACAAGGATAATGTCACAAAATGAAAACAGGTTCTGCAAAAGAAGAGCTATATTTAAAATAGTCATTGGAAAGCAAAAGTGAAACTACAAGTAAAGACACAAGGATCTGATTCATTGCTAATGAAGACTCTGGCATATGCAGCATGCACCTATTTTTGTACGTTCAAGTCAGACTGCATAGACTCTTGAAGTGACTCATTTAGCCACAGAGAGGCTTGCGTAGCTGCATATGTAGCTGAGGTTTAGGATCTTCATTGGTTTCAAATGAAAAGCTTGCTATATAAGTTTCTTATATAACTAAAAGAAACTGCAGATTTATGGATACAACTCTGTCCAAAGCCAAGATCATTTGAAATCACTCCCAGTTCTGGTATCATGTAAACATTTATTTGACTTGTACAATTTAAGATTACAGTGAAGTATAAAAAAGGATAGAATATACTTACAAGACGGAGAAGAGATCCCAATGGAAAATGTTATGGGTTTTTTTCTTTTTAAACAGGGAATAGGGCTGAATTTGGTTTTAAATGAGACATATGGCTGAAGTTGATTTTAAATAGGGAACAGACCAAATTTTAAGTACGTTTTTATGTGTTTATCTTTTGACAGTGCTAAAATAGTCCATTCACTACAGCAAGATAGTGCATTTGTGGCATTTTTAAAGACAGCATGTGCCCCCATTAATAGTACTTCAAGACATACAAGGTCTCATTGAAAAAGTCACGTTCCTGGTAGGGTTGCCAACTTTCTAATTGCATAAAACTGAACACCCTGGCCCTGCCCCTTCCCCGAGGCCCTGCCCCGTACTCACTACATTCCCCCTCCCTCGGTGGCTCACTCTCCCCAATCCTCACTCACTTTCACTGGGCTGAGGCAGGGGGTTAGGGTGCAGGAGGGGGTGAGGGCTCCGGCTGGGGATGAGGGCTTTGGGATGCAGGAGGAGGCTCCACGCTGGAGGGTGGGGCTGAGGGATTCAGAATGTGGGAGGGGGCTCAGGGCTGGGGCAGAGGGTTGGGGTGTGTGGGGGGGTGAGGTCTCTGGTTGGGGGGCGGGCTCTGGGCTGGGGCAGCGGCTGGGGATGAGGGATTTGGGGTGCAGGAGGGGGCTCCAGGTTTGGGGGGAGCTCAGGGCTGGGGCAGGGGGTTGGGGCTCAGGGTTGGGGCACAGGCTTACCTCGGGCGGCTCCCGGTCAGTGGCGCAGCAGGGCTAAGGCAGGCTTCCTGCCTGTCCTGACACCGTGTTGCGCGCGCCCTGGAAGTGGCCAGCAGGTCCGGCGCTAGCCAGCCAATGGGAGCCAGCCAATGGGAGTGCTGAGCCAGTGCTCGGGGCAGTTGGCAGTGCGCGGAGCCCCGTGGCCCCCTGCTGAGGAGCCGGACCTGCTGGGCGCTTCCAGGGCACAGCACAATGCCTGGACAGGTAGGGACTAGCCCACCGCAGCACCGCTGACCGGACCTTTAATGGCCCAGTCAGCAGTGCTCACCGGAGCCGCCAGTGTCCCTTTTCGACCGGGTGTTCTGGTTGAAAACTGGACACACGGTCACCCTAGTTCCTGGACATACCAGCCTATTCCTCAAAGGGGTTAACATTAGTATGTTCATTTCAGATTCACCCATGATTGAATGGCTATTACTATATTGCACCATAATATTGGTGTCTTAAAGAAGTGCATTCCATGGTGCTCCTCCAAAGAATGAGGGATTTCACAAACATGTTTGCTTGATAGGGAGAAAAGGGGGAAAGACTAAAAATAAGCATATGTATATTTGTAAATAGACAACTGAAGAAATAAAAAAAGGATTTTATCTCGTGGTAGCTCTGCTTAAACGGGAAGCTAATGTAAGGCTACACACCCAGTAAGTGGTTCTTTGCTCTGCTATGTGGAAAGAAGAGGCAAAGAAAAAGTTCTTCCCTGGCTCACTAGACTGGAGACAACTCACTCTTTGACTGCCAAGATCATGATCCTATTAGCAAGCTCCCACCCTGGTATTATCCTGTCTCTTAAGAAACTTGATCTCCCAACAGTCAAGTCAAGGGTGTCTACCCCTTAAGCTGTTGTCACAGAGAGACAGTGGCCAGCTGTTCAAAGAGGAGGTCTGATGTTATCCTAGACATGTTTCTTCAGAGAAAGCTAATTATGAAGGAATCTGCCTCCCTCTCAAGAGAACTGAGGCAGGGAGGCTACCATGTATGAGTGTCCCTGCAGGAGAAGAGGTGTGCACAGGTGAGAGAGTGAAAATATCTGCTGCTTGGATTTTCTCTTATAATCAGAATTTACTAAGAATAAATCATCCCAAGCCAGCTTGATTTCCTTCTTTGACAGGTAACTGGTTTAGTGGATAGGGGAATGCGGTGGACATAATATACCTGGACTGAAGCAAGGCTTTTGACACAGTCCCACATGACATTCTCATAAGTAAGCTGGAGAAATATGGGCTTGGTAGAACTACCATTAAATGGATACATAATTGGTTAAACAACCAAAAAGAGTAATTATTAATGGAATGTCAGATTGAAAGGAGGTCGCAAGTGGGGTTCCACTTGGATCTGTTCTGGGTCCAGTGTTATTTAACATATTTATTAATGACTTGGATGCAGGGCCGGTGTAACCACTAGGTGAACTAGGTGGCCGCCTAGGGTGCCAAGATTTGGAGACACCAAAAAGTGGTGTCCAGTGTCACGGGAGTCAGCTGAGTGGGGCAGGGTAGGGAGCGAGGCCTCCATAACAAACCCGCTCCCGCAGTGAGGAGCACCACGCAGGATGGTCAGTGGGAGCCTGTGGCAGAGCAAGGAGGAGACAGCCGGCCAGGCGCGGCAACCAGCGCGGCCGAGGGACGGAGCCGTTGGGGGAGGCAGTGGTGCTGAACAGCTTTGCCCTCCAACACGCCGCACCTGGGGCCGGGCGCAGCCACCTCCTGGGGTGAGGGAAAGTGAAACTAAACCCCGCAGCACAACGAAGAGGAAAGGGCTGGTGCAGGTGCCGCTTCCAAACACCAACCCCCCCGGTGGCACTGTGCCAATGCGGGGAGCCGTCCCTGATCCCCAGGGAGATCCTCATATGCTCTCTGGGAGAGTCTGGCTCTGCCCTCCTTGCCCCTGGGTACCCCCTCGGAGGGCGAAGTACTCAGAGCCTGGGAACGTTTAGAGACCCTGCGAGCTGGGGGCATTCTCAGCCTCCTCCTTGCTCATAGGTTCCCCCGGGCCAGAAGGGACCGTTGTGATCATCTCCTCTGACCCCCTTGTATTAATTCTAATGAACAATGCCACATTATGCAGCATTCATTTTTGAAACTTTATAATAAGCGATGCTCCGGGGGGAGGGGAGAGGAAGAGGGAGGGGGGGCACAAGGTGGAAGTATCGCCTAGGGCGCAAAATATCCTTGCACCAGTCCTGCTTGGATGTAGGACTAGAGAGCATACTGATCAAATTTGCAGATGACACAAAGCTAGGGGGAGTTGCAAATACTTTTGTGGATAAAGCTAAAATTCAAAGGGATCTTGATAAATTGGGGAACTGGGCTGTAGACAACAAAATGAAATTCAGCGAAGATAAATGTCAGGTGCAACACATAGGGAAGAAAAACCAAATGCACAAATACAGAATGGGGGATAATTGGTTTGGCAGCAGCACTGCTGAGAAGGATCTGGTGGATCACAACCTCAACGTGAGTCAACAATGCGATGTTGTTGCAAAAAAAAAATAATGGAATTTTGGGATGCATTAACAGAGGCCTAACATGCAAGTCACGTGAGGCGATATTGCCACTCTACTTAGGCATCAGCTGTGTCCAGTTTTGGTCACTGCTGTATAGAAAGGATGTAGAGAAACTGGAAAGGATCTAGAGGCAAGTGACAAAGATGATCAAAGGGATGGGATGCAAGTCATGTGAGCAAAGGCTGAAGGAGCTGGGTATGTTTAGTTTGGAAAAGAAGAGATTTAAGAGGGGACATGATAGCCATTTTCAAATACTTGAAAGGCTGCCATAAAAAGATGGAGAAAAAATATTTTGTCTTGCCACAGAGGGCAGGACAAGAGGCAATGGGTTCAAACTACAGCATAGCAGATTTAGATTAAATCTGAGAAAAAACTTCCTAACGAAAAACAGTAGGACAATGGAACAAACTGCTTAGGGAAGTTGTGGACGCTCCTTCAATGGAGGTTTTCAAGAAGAGGCTGGATAGCAATCTGTCTTGGATGTTTTAGACACAACAAATCCTGCATCTTGGCATGGGATTAGACTAGATGTCACTTGTGGTCCCTTCTATGGTTCTATGATTTTATGAGTCTATCACAAATATTTGCTTTTCATGTTTTATTAGTTGGAGGTAGAGGAGCAACCATCCATTTTAGGATTCAATTTATAGCAGCATCTGC